ACAGGCTGGGACTGATGGTTCTTTTCGAGTGCTGGGAGCTAATGTCAAAATCCTTGCTCTCCTCTTCTGACAATGGCATGTTAGGCCCCGATGACTCCTTTGCTTTAGTACGCAAGGGGTGGAGGACAAATCGAGGGATACGGCTGCGCATGCTTCCTTTTTCCTTCACCTGCAGGAAATAAAAAATCAGTAACTGGAAAAATGGAATGGTGCTACGACTGCCTTCAGACAAACTACAGTCAGCAACTGAGGTGAGTTAATCTTTTTTTAAAGCTGGTATTGAGTTGAATAATGTTCCTTAAAGTTATTAGAGTATCCAATATAAATCTTGCTTACATGTCTTAATGTAAGTAAAAATGTGTTTGTACAGAAATGATTTAAAGATAGTTAAGCACCTCATATGTCTGAAAAGGTCCCATTCTTCTTAAGTAGAGAATACTTCCAAGTAAAACTGTTAAAAAAAGAAAGATAATAGTGTAAAAATGAATGAGGACATGATGCAAGATGCCAGGCTGGTTTAACCCAGTTTATAAATCGTTCTGACTTAAGTGCCAGGCTACAATATTTATATGCTTAAATATGAAATATATGTCTTTGCCATGAATTGTCATTAAATTTTAAATCTACCCAAAACATTTTTTTTCCCCAGAGTCATTTGTCTTTTATGGACAATGTAGTGCCTTATCATACTTGAGTTTCAGCCACCCACTATAAATGTGTTCACTAGTACGGCAGGAAATCTCATTCTAAATTAAACTGATCCAGTGCTATTATTTAACATGATTCTTATGATTAATCAGTGAATTTACCAAGTGTTATGTAAAAGGCTTTGCACTTGGTTAAGGAAGTAATATGGTCAATTTAATCCTTGTCTAGGTAGAGAGATGATAAATCCCCACCCTTCTGGTTAGATTATTTAACTGTTTTGGGTTTTCCAGATCTGCTCATAACTAACAGACCAAAGCCCAACGGCTGAATAATTTAATATTCAGTATCACGCTTAATTGACTATGACGTCATTGATTCATTTCCTGTTATTAGTGGTGTATGTTGTGGTTGCGTGTGCCTTGTTTTTCAGCTTCTCTTTGAAGTTGGTTATATAAGGGTTATGGTTGTTTTCAATGTGGATGATGTAATTGACCCCTTAAGATTGATGCATTTTGCATAGCTGGGTGCTCACTTCTTTCCATTTTTTTGTCTGGATGTCATGTTTCATTACAAAAGAAGTCAAAGCACAACCTTTAGCACAACTTGTAGGTCACCCTTTCCTTTCGGATATGAAAAACATGCTACTTAATTTTGAGTATCTTATGTCACCACCTCCTTTTAAATTATGCAAGTATTATGTTGTTTTATATATTTTTTGCTTTGGTTAAAGAAAAAAGGATTTGCTTTTGTCAGCTTCAGTGATAGAAGTACACTAAGGGAACTGAAAATGAAAATGCACATTAGAATTCAAAAGTGTGGAATCAGTAAGATGTTTTATTTTTTTAAAAGAAATCAATATTTTTATTCAGCACGGATGCATTAAATTGATCAAAAGTGAGAGTAAAGACTGTTATAATATTGCAAAAGATTTCCATTTCAAATAAATGTTCTTTTGAACTTGTCAGCCAAAGTCAGAGCCTTAGCAACAGAGCCTAGTAACAAAGGCCTGGCAACACAAAGGAACATTGCCTTTCAAGAAACCAGATAGTGCTCAGTGACATTAGTCAGCTATTCAGTCCTTGATTGATGTCTTGTGTCAGGACAAGAAGCTTAGTGTTTTTACCTCAGCTAACTGAAAAGCTGAGACTAGTTTCAGCTTGACATAGTTAGAAGTTACTGATGCAATTTCTCTTAAATCACCTCATCCATCCTATGCAAATGGCATGGGTGGCTTGAGGTGATTAAACAGGAGTGCACTCACAGAGTTAGAGGTTATTTGTTGACTCATAACACCTTATGTAATGTACTACTCATATTTAATTAAGAAGAATGATTTCATGCATAAAACATGACAGTAAAAACTTGCTTCACCCCACACTCTCAGAATAAAAGGTACAGAGTTGTCACTGGGGTAGTACTCTAAGGTACAAATCTAAAAGGTACATCTTTGTACCTTATTTACCATTAAAAGATACATATTTGTATCTTGAAGGTATGAATGAATACTAGTTTTGTACCTTTTTTTCTGAGAGCGTACACTATATGTTCTTAAGGCCTTTTTTAAAATACTATAAACATCCATTATAATCAACAATTTGAAGTTCTGACAGTTATATAACTAAGGTTGTCTTCTTCTGTCCAAATATGAAGTCAACACAAAACATCTAGAGACACTTTAAATCAGTTGCCTCAGCACCAGTGACTCCTCATTCTGTCGTTAGTCCACTAAAGCAGTGATGACTCAATGTTACTGGAGACAGAGAGTAATGCGCACAAATGCATTTGCTACTGGCTTTGAGTGCTTTCTCTGCTTGCTGGTTGACTACAGAAAAAGATGGCTAAATTCAGGCTGACATCGTACAAGTCAGTGTGCATGATTACAAATTTGAGCAATTCCTTTTCTCAATTCACTTTTGTTTTAACAGTCTATATTGTAAAGCATTCCATACATTTTTAACTGACTAGGGTGTTTATTATTATTTTATTCGTTTTATTATTTATTCCATTTCCAGTGAGAATTGAGTGCACCTGCTCTGGGAAGACATGAGAAGACATGTTGCCCCACAATTTTTTGGTCTCATTTAACTGATTATCTGTTTCATTGTCGTTGAAGAGTTAAAATATGCCACTTTTTCATTTTAAAACCACCTTTTTTTTCAGCAGTCAGGTAAATCTCATAACACGACTCAAAATTTGACTCAAATACTTTTTTATACAATTTTTACTGTTATTTTTTTTTTGCATTTTACTATTTGCCATTTTATGCTCTTATTCTCAAAATGAATTCTTATTAAATTTTTGACACTGTAATTCAGTAATGTCTGTACTGTATTACAGTATAAAATGCTAAAATGTTTTTTTTTTAAACTTAAATCAGTATTAATTAAAGGCAGTACAATATATAATTTAAATATAATAAATCAAAATTTTATATTTTTATATTATATAACTATAAAACGAAACTTTTAAAAAAACATATTGCATTCTGTAAAACTAGACTTATAAAACACAATTTCTCCCACGAAGGGCAGATGTTTTCTAATATTTCAGCTTGTAATAAAAATCTTAATTATAAAAAAAAGTTGATTGACAATACCTGATTGAAAGACGTTTAGCTGCTGACAAGCAGTGTTGGGGAAAGTTACTTTTAAAAGCAATGCATTACAATATTGCGTTACTCCATAAAAAAGTAACTAATTACGTTACGTAGTTACTTTTTATGGAAAGTAATGCGTTACGTTACTTTTGCGTTACTTTTTAAATCTGGACAGGGCTTGCTTGTTTGTTTTTAAAATAAAAAAGTTATATTTTTGGCAAATATAAAAGCCTTTTCACATCAAAAGTGAAATGAATAAGCTTCAGGCTGAAGGGAAAGTACATTTAAGTCCGTACAGTAGAATGCAGAAGAAGAAATTTCAACACACTTCAGCAATAAAAAAAGACACAAAGTAATTTGTGCTTATTAGTATGGTTGAACTGGATCATCGAAGGTCAGAAGCATAGACATTGGTTAATAAAATGGGATTAAATACATAAAGCATATTTGTGTTGTTTAACATTTAATTATTGCAGGTTTGCGTCATATTCCGAGTTGCATTATTTTTATTCACTTTGAGGAATACTGAATCTGTGTTTTTTGTGAGTGAGATGAATTAATGCATATTCATATTTATTTCAGAACTACAGTGACATCTTCTGATTTCTCTCAACATGGGGACAGGAGAGCCGTCAATCAATAAATTGGAAAAAAAAAAGTAACTCAGATATTCTCTTGTGAATTAAAAAGTAATGCGTTACTTTGCTAGTTACTTGAAAAAAGTAATCTGATTACGTAACTCGCGTTACTTGTAATGAGTTACCCCCAACACTGCTGACAAGTATCTCTGAAATGTCAAATGACTCTTCTGCCCCACCTAAAAGAAACTCAAAAAAAACAAAAACTCACATTCATTTAAACTGCATTATAAATATAATTTACTTTTTTTTCTAATTGTTTCTTCAAATGGAACGTTCATCTTAAACAATTCGTTAACAGCTATGCGTAATTCAAGTTTAGAGCAAACATGTTGAATAGAGGCTATACAAAGAACATGTCGTATTCGATTTAAAAACTAGCCTATATCTACTAATATTAGAATGTATAAAAAAAATTCCCGTTAATAAAACCCGCTATGGTAAACAACTGTGTGACGCAGTAATTAAATAGACTTGCCTCGTGATGGGCTGATGGAGTCCTGTGAGTGAGAGTGAAGGATGCGCTCCTCCGTATCTCTTTAAAAACAACACACTGCTCGCCCTCGGTCCTCAGCTCTGCTTTGATCTGATGTGATGGACTCTCAGCCTCTCGTCTGCGAGAGAAGCCTGATTATTCCACACAGCACATCTCAGAGCATATATGTGAGTACGTGCTCAAGCAGAAGAGGCTGTGGACATTGACATCGCCAGGACTACGTGAATCTGACTAATGTTCCAAGTGTGTTATGTAACGAGCAGCAAGAATTAACCCTTACATGGCCGAATGTGATTTAACATTTCGGATTTATTGACTAGTCACACCTTATGATTTCATCAAAAGTGATTTATAGAGCCTTGTTTTAATGTCTTACACAGTATTAATGGTTGATGGGATTTGACCTACGCTCTTAAATATAAAGGTTCTTTATTGGCATAGATGGTTCCATGAAGAACCTTTAACATCCATGGAACCTTTCCATTGCACACAAAGTTCTTAGCTTATTAAAATGTTCTTCACATTAAGAACAAAAGGGTTCTTTTAAGAATTGTTCCCTGAACCCAAAATGTTTCTTCTGTGGCATCACTGGGGGGGAAAAAAAATCTGTCAGTTCATGTCAGTACATTTCTAACCAAGAGCTGACTAAACATAAGTCTTATTTCTATGTAATAGAAATGTATTTTCCTTTAGCATATTTTTCCTTGTGCATATTTGCTTGATTTATTTTAATTATTAAAATTAAAATATGCTAAAGGAAACCCATTTTAATCATTGTACCCAAATCAAAAATAGTAAAGAAAATAATCTTACATATCAATCAAAATATCTCAGATAACTATGATTTAAAACAAATGAATAACAGTATCGTTTAGTATCATTAACTGATTAAAAACGTTTTAACACGGTTGCTACACATTGTAAATGACGTGTTGCTTATGCAATACATTGTCAAGTCAAGTCACCTTTATTTATATAGTGCTTTTAACAATACAGATTGTGTCAAAGCAACTGTAATGCATTAACTAGGAAAATAGTGTGTCATTAATGCAAAATTACAATGGTAAACACTAAATTTTCAGTTGAATGTTGAAATTTAAAATTGAATTCAGTGATGTCATCATCCAGCTCAGTTCAGTTTAAGTAGTATATGTGCAATCAAGTTGACGATATCGCTGGATATTAAGTGTCCCCAACTAAGCAAGCCAGAGGCGACAGCGACAAGGAACCAAAACTCCATCAGTGACAGAATGGAGAAAAAACCTTGGGAGAAACCAGGCTCAGTCGGGGGGCCAGTTCTCCTCTGACCAGACGAAACCAACAGTTCAATTCCAGGCTGAAGCAATGTCACATTGTGCAGAGGTTCCTCAACTGATTCCTGTGGTCTTGTCCCAGGGGCTGTCTAGGAGACAAGGTCTTTAGGAGGTTTGAGCTCTCTCTCGTCTCACTGTACTGTTATTCTTTCAGCCAGAGAAATAGAGCTTACGGACAGAAAACATCTCTGGTTATGCAGTGTAACCATGCTTGCGTTGAGTAACCGGAGATGTTTCCTTTCGATTTCAGCTCACTCAACATTGTGTCGGTAGCTGATGTAATGGGGATCACGTTATTAGCAATGTCCAGCTCATCTGTAAGTGAAGCCATCAACCAGGCTAGGTATTTTTAAGAATGAGTGCCAGTGGCTTAACAATTGTAAAAGAGCTGATTGGATAGCCTAAATTGGCTTGAAATCTTCGTGTAGATGCGCAAAGTGAGCACAGGACAAAGAAGGATGAGTGTGTGAGGCCTTTCAGTTTGCTCCTTCAGGAAAAAAAAAACTTTATAAAAACTTTTTTTTAAGGTGTCCTTGTTACAGTGTAATTATACATATGAGAACTGAGTAATATTAATTTATGACATGTACTTACTATATGGTTAGGGTTAGGATTTGGGTTTGGCTTAGGGTTACTTGCATGTAATTTTTCATAATTAATTGTTATTATAATATTAAGTACATGTAACGTGAAACAAGGACACCTTAAAATAAACTGTTACCAAAGTTTTTTTAATAAACTTTATAAATAAACTCAGAGCAATACTTGCATATCTCCTATCTCCAACTTTCGACAAGCGGATGCAGGCTTTTAACCAAAACCTGAAGTGTCCGCATATGAAGCAGACCAAGACAGCATACTGTCGAGGCTGCTGCCAACAACCCAAATGTTCTCTGAAACTTCCCTGACTTGAACAAAGCGAAGGAAGTCTGAAGGCACTCAAGTGAGAGGTGGGCTCGCATTGAGACTCAGTTTAGCTCTATTCCTTAAAAATTAGATACTCTTAGTAGCCTTAAGAATGCCCCTCTGCATATTGACTGTGAGCTCTAAACAGCTGAGGTGTTCAAAAATGCACATTCTGTTCGGAAATATCGGCTGTAGAAGCTGCTCTGACAATTTTCTAAAGGACCTGCCTCTATCGCACATTTTGCAAGGAGCATATTGTAAAGGAAACATGTAAATTTAGCTCAAAGGGAATTGATTATGATATTTATAGGGAATTTAACAGAATCACTTTTACGGCTGATCAACTGAATAGGCCAGTGATTAATTGAACGGCCGTAACTATTA